CCAGGCAGGAGCTACCTGCTATCGAAGGCCAAGAGAGCCCGGACGTGGGGCGCTTAAAGCGTGAACTGTGCAGGCTGCATGGCTTTCCGTTTTGCCTGCAGCAGCTGCTGCATAATGGCAACAGGTTAGATGATTCTACCAAGATAGTTGGCCCCATGGACCTACAAATAGTCCTGCTATCCGTGTCCGCGGAGTTGAAGCATGAGGCTGCCAGCGAGTTACTTGATGCCTGCAAAAAAGGCCAAGTAAAGGTTGCGCAGTCACTATTGGAAGCTGGTGCTGACAAAGACTCACAGGACGCCTTTGGCGCGACAGCTCTCATGTATGCAGCTCTCTCTGGGCATGTGGAGGTGGTACAGCTGTTGTTGGGCGCTGATGCCAGCAAGGACTTGCAGGACCAGAGCAGATTCACAGCTCTCATTACTGCAACTGAAGAAAACCACGTGCAAATTGTGCGTTTGCTACTGGAAGCTAGTGCCGACCCAGACTTATGTAATGAGCACTGGGAGACACCTCTTATTCTCGCGGCTTGCAACGGAAACGTGGAGATAGTGAGGTTGCTCTTGCAGGCGGGTGCCGACCCTGACATACGCGATCGAAGTCGACAAACAGCTCTCATGCATGCACTTCAACACAATCACCGCGAGATTTCACGATTGTTGAGACGCCCTGTGGTTGGCAAAAGCAGCTCTCGCGTGCACCACGAAGCAGAAGACGGCAGCTGAGACTGCCTAAAAGTCCTTTGGAGCATGCAGCATGCAATTGCCTGTGTAGGACAGTGCAGTGACCGCCTGGGCACGAGGGTTATCTTGCTATCATGTCCATGCGCAGGATCCCTAGGGATAGATTTCAAAGCTCGAGGAATACTGTAGGGCTTAGGGTACCAAACTTGGGGGTTTAGGGTTTGGGGTTTGGGGTATAGTTGGCCTTGCCCATTTTCACGCCAAGGGTATAGTGCTGCAGAAAAGGACTAGAAGTTGATCTGGATACTTGGTAATATGCTGCGTAATACCCCGAGATCATAGGATAAACAGGGACCCTAGACCCTGAACCCGAAATTCCGAACCCTAAACCCTAAATCCTGAACCCTGAATAAACCCTTAACCCCAAACCCTGAACCGTAAGCCCTGAACCCTAGACCTTGAACGCTGAACCCTAAACCCTAAGCCCTAAACTGGTGTTCCCAGGTTCCGCATTGCCCGAATGTCGCTGGGCTGCATGTGGGCAACTTGAAGCGACAAAACTGCTATTCCAACCAACCAGGACTTCCAGCTACCCTCAAATGATTTTATAGTCAAAGCTCCTCAAAGGGGATTAGAAACGGGATATAAGGGGGATTCTCGGATTTTGAACTGTAGCAAAAAAAAGGGTATACGCAGGTCCAAATTGTGGGTATTTAGGCTCTGCAAAAGGTATTTCGGTGTTCAGGAACAACACCCCCGCCGCAATCATCCTGGCGCCGCTCCTCCCAAGATAGAATTTTGGACTACATACATGAATTTCAAATCATATCCTAGGAGCTTTGAGTACGTGTTGGTGGGCCGAAAATCAGAAGTTTCAATTCAGGTGCTGCAAGAGTGAATTGCAAGGAAAACTTCAAAAAGGGGAAAACCATAGCTGTCATTGCAAATCTGTCTGAATGAGGTGTATGAGCCGAATTCCCTGACAATCGACCCTAGCCCCAGCTTTCGTAGGAGCACTTGTGACAGCGCCTAGGTATTGCAATGACGCTGGCACTGACTTACATGCGAATGACGTCAACATTTCCCCTAAAGTTGTTTGATGTGACGTGATGTGCATACAGGTAGAGAACCACATTTTGATGAAACGCAGTTTTGACTTGCCCCCCCGAAACACGAGGACACTTATGATCAGGCCCCGCAATCTAGCAAAGTAGTTCCACACAAACCTTGAGTGGGACCTGTGTATTACCCTTATCATCTCTAGATCCCTTCCTTCTAATGTTACGTCCCCCACCCCCTGACATTAAGTAGTCGCATTGGGTGGTACATTATAATATATTGGGATTATGTTAATATTAGGGGGAGGGGGTAGATAATATTAGGGGGGGGATTACATCCCTAAACCCTGAACCCTCTATAAACTAAAACTCCTAAAACCTGAACCCTAAACCCTAGACCCTCAATCCCCTGTGCAAGCGAAGGCCCAGGGCCTGCTTCCTCCATCTTTGCTTTCACTTTTGGCACAAGCTGAAGCCCAAAAGTAGGTAGAAGAATAGCCCCGAACAACCAAATACAGCCATCAAGGCAATTATTTTACATACTTCTGGGGTTTGGGAACTCCTGAATTCCCCTCTATTCCCCGCCCTTTCCGAAACAGACAGATATTGCCCCTTTCATTCAATGGCATGGAGTTGGGAATATTCTTTCTTAGCGGCGTGGAGGGTGATACAGTTGCAGAGAGACGTACCCTGAGGCTCCTATACGGTTGGGGTTGGGACTGAAGAGGTGAGGTTAGGGTTTGCGCTTCCACAAAGCCGGTTTAGAGTTTAGGGTTGGTTTATGTTTCTAATCCCAAGGAACAAGCATCATGCAGATTGACGTGTGCTCGTAATGGCTCCTGCCCAGCAACTCCCTGGCATACATGGACTCTTTGTCTCTTGTGCCTGAATGAGCTACTGTCAATATTGGGGTTACCAAGGAACCATGATGGGTGGACATACGGATCCCTCTTGTAATTTAGTCCTCTTTAATTCAGTATAGTCCCGAATATACTCTCCCAAAAGGAGCCCATGTCCATCAATTGCCTGGGAAAAATGCTGTAGCTCATATCAACCTCTACCTACGTATTTTGCCATTGTCATTTGCCCTGCCGTCCCTCCTGACGAGGATGAGACAATATAGCTTCAACTGGACGGAGAATGATTGGTTCCAGGCCTGAGCCCATGTATTAGGGCTTCAGGATAGGGTGCTGCTCTTGGGTGGGGGCTAAAGATAGGGCTGCAGATGGTTCTCCAGGGTTGTGGGTCTAGCTGGTTACTGGTGCAGGGTTTAAGGACCCTAAACCCTAGACCCTGGACCCTAAACCCTTGAGTTACTCTGGCATTTGGGAGGGTTGTGAGCTCGCACGGAGATATCTCACTTGGGTTTGTATAATCGCAAGGTAGTCGAAAAACCTTCGCCAACCGCCAACTTGTAAGGTTTTACAGTCTTATTTGGAAACTTCCCCGCATTAAATCATGACATCAGTGTCACCTGACTTGCAAGACTCTGCAAGACTCCTCCCTGATTGTTGGGGTACCGTGAAGGGCCTGACGACCACAACATGTGGCCACTCCATGTGCTGTGCGGATCGGACCGCTAATTTCGATATATTTGGCGCGTGCAGGTAATGCATGCATCCGAGCTCTAAGTGCCTGTTTCCTTGTGATTTGCTTGTCGGTAAATGCCGAGTAGAAGGAACGAGAAGGAGACGTCCGCATTGATGCATGTTCGTAACATCTAAATACAACTCCGAACCAAAGCAAGCCCTTGCATTGTGTAAAGACAGGCTGCCTCCTTCTCAATGCTTGGCTCCTGCCGCTGTACGATAGTCTACCACAACAGTGAATGCCTTCCTGAACGGGCACTGGCCCTGATATTTGTCAGAAGCTCGCTATGCCGCGGACAGTGAACCTTTTGTTTCATCCCACTCTTTCAGGAGGACCCCAGAATCGCCTTGTTATTCTACATATCCCTGGGATAATTAGGACCCCCTATTTTGAGAAGACACCACATGAAGTTGAATGCTGGCAGTACCTGTCTGGGGGCGTCATCTGCCTCAATGCAGCCGTGCTGGGATTCGCCATGCACCAAGTTGGGAAGGGAGGATCAGGGGATCTATGAGAAGATGCAAACGTTTGCCTGGTGAGAAATTTTCACTCTTTGGACGCCAGAATGTGTGGGATGTCTTCGGTTCTGGTGGAGTCCCTGAGGTCAAGGCACCCAGCATCCAAACTAGGCTACTGCTGCTAGAGAGCCTGCATCCCGATCATGACCTTTGCTTGCCCCTCTTTGCCTGCAGTCATCATCACCTCTCGGGTTATATAGCAAGCTTTGTTTTCCCAGAGTCACACGATCCCACTCAAGAATCGAACCGGAGGAAAATCGGTGTAAAATTAGCACCCACGGGATTAGATGCCTCAATTCCACACAGGCTAAAACCGTCTTATGGAATTTAGGCTTCTCTTGACAGTGGTTCTCGCTCAGGGGTTGTGTATGATTAGCCTTGCTGCACTAAACCTTCCAGATCGTGTAAATGAACTAAGCTCACGATGTGGGAATTGGAGAGCTTCCTTTCGGTACCCTTGCACGAAAACCTCCGTGGTGCCCCCTACATGTTGGAAACTCCTTAGTGAGGCTGCAAAAAAGATGCGCCCAGCGATCAAGAGCTCCTTGATTCCTATGCTGTCCTGAGGAAACGGATTCGCCGAATCCAGCATGGTGGTGGGTGAACCAGGCTGCATGGCATGTCCTACTTGAGCCGGCCTTTGACTTTGTGTGAGAACCCTTGCATCAGTGGTGTTGCGAAGTATCCCCGGTGATATATTCCCCAAGAAATCTGCACCAAGAACGCTGTGGCTTGGATGATGATACACAGCCCTACGGGCCCTCCTGCGATGTGCGCGTTAGATCCCAGTCTCTCAGGCCCGGAGATCCGCTTGACATCCTGTATGCGCAAACAAATCTCCAAGTGCTTTGAGGGTACTTTCTAAAACAGGGATCTTGCTAGAATCATGTGCAAACAACCGCCGATTCTTCGGATGGGTTTTGACATCCGAATTTCTCATCTCATGGTCTTACGAGCTGCATAAGTTTTTGCAACCGGTAACCCCTCCCCCCGCCAAATAGCGTCATCATGTACTAGTGGGAATATTCATTCGAGGGTAGATGCTAAAATTTGAACGCAGCCTTCCTGAATCAGGGGATTCTCCTCTTCTTTGTCTTTGAGATTGTTGCCCCGAGCTCAGCAATGCCAACTAAGAAAGAGCTTGGCTCTCCATGGCAGTTCCTTTGAGGTACCCGGGCTTAGGTTTGGAGTGTGATATTGATCTACCGTGGTGGCCAGCGGCTAGGGCGACTGTACTGGGGCAAATGGGGAACTGGTTCTTGTGGAGTGTGGTCCTGTAGGAGAAGGATTACAAGTGGTCCTCCTCCGGCTATTGCCGTGTTGCCGCCGCTGCGATCTTGGATTCCAACGTTTGGTCTGGGACTCTCTCAGTTCAAGCTCTCAAGATTATGCAAGCGCCGCACCCCCTGAAAGCATGTCCAAAGCACTCACCCCCAAAACCTTGCAAGGTGCGGATACGTCTGCTGGGCTGCAAAGGTTTCTTCATCTCAGAAGAGGCCACTTGGGGGGGGTGAAGGGGGGGGGGCAAGGAGTATTTCCCATAGTGCTGCCTTTGTTCCTGTTTATCGTCAGGGTATTCCACAAAGTGATGTATTCGGCTTTGCAAAACAGGCACGGCATCAAGATGCACATCACAGTTGCCATATTTCGAGTTGTTGGGTTCTTGAAGCTGGAACTTCACGTTATCCTCGGTAATTTAGCAAAGCTTGTGCCCAGAGAATCTGTACAGTGGAGTTATCCAAGTAGTGGACGTATACCAGGCTTCCACAAGTTACAGTTGCTGTAAATCCCGAGTTGCTGCAGGTATAAGCCGTGGTTTTGCAAAATGATTGGTTATACAGCCCAGAAATAGGAAGCCCTTGTATTCCCCTTATTGTGCCCTGCATCCATGCGCCCAAACCCCAAACGCTGAACCCACTTCTGCTTGGCTTGCAGAAAATAACCCGAGGACCCCAAATGGTATGCTCCATGATCGAGTGTGGAGACATGTGAGCTACTTACAAACTCCCTGGGCCCCCTGAACGCCTAGACTTTCAAACCGTGAATGTGTAGACGGGCCTAGACGCGCCTCGACCCTGTAAACCCTGAACGCCTAGACCACTAAACTGCCAACCCGAAACACTACCACATGATGTGGGCAGCCAGGACATCTTCTGGAACTGGATGGACTTTGTCATCGTCCTCCTCGGGGTCTTCGACCTCTGGGCCCCCTGCCAGCCCATTGCGAAAGCTCTTCATTTCTTGAAGCCGTTTGTCTCTTTTTCCATTTGTGGCAGTGCAAAGGGAGTAACGAAGGGCTGTGTAGAGATTCTCACTTCTGAGGTTCATCGGCTTTAGAGTTTTCTGGCATGCTTTCGTTTATCACAATGTTGCGTCTTGTGAGACCCTTCATCTGAAGATGTTTTATGGAACGCTTTGGGGCCGTATGACAGTGACGGATGGACTGCAGCGCAGCCAAAGGATGACTGTGATTGTTCAATTCGCCATTGTTGCAGAAAGGCGGTTGATTGGAGTAGCCCTACAGATCAATCAGGTGACACGCAAATCGAGGTTGGATAACCCTGAAGAGAACAAAATTGCAGAGCAACAGCAGCAACTCTACGTCTTGCAATCGGGTGCCCCTGCACTGGGTTCATCAACTCCCTACACATCTTTAGACCTATACTGACTTTCAACCTGCTGTCCCCTCTCAAGTTTGTTCCAAGGCAATTCCAGTGGGAGATTTGATCCTGGGCCAGGACCTTGGATAGTGTTCCCAGTCCCTATGGAAAATAATGCCGATAATGGAGAAACATATGCAAAAGACAATGAGAAATGGAATGGAAACTACTATTTAGGGACTGGTGCTCAGCGCTCTAGGATACGGCACTGAGGGTCTGGTGTTTAGGGCGAGCGGTTCATTAATGTGAGGTTTGCGCGTTTGGATGTAGGGCTTCTGAATGAGGATGAGGGCTGGCGAGCAAGGTGTGGTAGCAACGGAGGCACTATCAGGGACAGTGGAACTCTGAAGAAGGAGTATGATCGTACGACTCCAGCCACTAAATGCCACTCCCCGAAGCTCCCGCAATTACACTCCTCAACTCCCGAAGCCCACATTATGAAGCCCTAAAATCCTCAACCCCTCAAACCTCCAAATGCCTGAACTCTACGAGTCTCAGACTCCGAAGCCCATGATAACCCAAACATACTAGAGTAGTTTCCATTTTACTTTCCATTATCCCAATATAAACCCAATATAACCCAGGCACCAAGACCTCCAATGGCTTCGGACGCCTGGTGCTTTTGGTACGCATGTTGAGGACTCATGGAGTAGCTTTTGTGAGGCTTGTTGTTACTATGATCGTTGTAGTAGTCTTGTTACGATTATTAATGCCTTTTTTATTATCCCACTTGTAGATACGCTGAAGAAGATCTTGAGAAGCTTGAAACGCATATTTCTCGCCCTATATTATATCCAAAAGGGCCTCTCGAGGGTTTGAGGTTTCATTGCAGGACGTTGGAATGCTTTCAGACATGGAGATCCATGATTTTTGCTAAGTTCTTGTACGGCCCCAATTTTGGCGTCGCCATTTGGATGGCTTGCACTTAAATCCTGAAGCCCTCACCCCCAAGCCCTAGAGGACCCTATACGAACCCTAAGCCCTTCAATGCCTCGGTGGAGGATGCTTCGCATTCTCCGGCTGTTGAAGCTTGTAAAAGCTGTTAGGCCACTGCCCTGGGCTCAGCGATTAGGGATTCCTCGCAACAAATGGAGAATGCAATGGAGAAGAAAATTCAAAATGACATGGAAACTGATTATGTAGGAGTTTATAGCGATTTGGATTTTCCAAAATTGGAAGTACTTTTTGGGTGGTCTTTATAATACGGATCATAGCGTTTTGGGGTCTATATTGGGATCCTCCTTATTTAGGGAAACTACCAAATAGAGCTTGGAACTAGGGATTCGGGTGTAGTGTTCGGAGTTTAGGGGATTAGCATGCAGAGTTTGGGTTTGTGGGCTAGGGTGATTTGATCTGCTAAGGGGTGGGGTACAGGGTGAGAGGTTTGCGGGAGGCTATATGGTAGTTTTCCAACATAAGGGGACCCCAATGTAGACCCCAAGATATTATGATCCGTATTACTTGGGACCCCAAAAAGGGTATCCCTAATTTTGGGAAACCCCCCTGCTAGGCTGGGGAGTGCAGCACAAGACATTTTCAGACACATGTCTGTTGGGCATTGAGCGCACATCTTTGCGTTCTAGCAAGGCTTGAATTTGTGCTGGGTCGTAGCCAGGTCCTGAGAACCCAAGTATAAATACATTAGGGTTAGTTTTGAGTACCAAAAGTCCTCCAGCCCTGAGCTTGGGACCTAACCTCCCGTTCTTTAGGCACCTGAAACCACCAGTTGCATGAAGGTCTTCGGCATACAGGGCTACTAGTGCTACGGTTTGCGGGATGTGACTGAGGCATCCCAAGGGTGTGGGTGTTGCGAGACTTTGGACTACTTGGGTTTGTGTGTATGTATGTACTACTAAAAATCGTGTGCAAGCAAGGCGCAACACCCAGTGTGATATCTACTCACCGACTTCAACATGAAACCAAAACCTTGCGAAACCAGATCCAAACCTCCGACGACAGGTGCTCAACGCTGAGGCCACATGGTACCACCAACCCCTATGAAGGAGCCAAAGGATCACATGAACAAAAGGGGGGCACGTGCTGGGATCCTTGTGCGCTCATCCAGGTATTCCCTTGCCCTGGGTGTGACCCAGGCGACAACAGAGGGCATGTTCATCTGTGGGGGTTCGAAAACTAGGGGTCCCTTTCGGGCATAAGGATCATGTTGCCTTATATTGGGGTCTATATTCTGTGGGAACCCAATTGATCGAAAGGCTCATCAATCAAGTTTGCCATGTGGAAGGCGTTCATCCCCAATTTGCTTTGGGAAACAGTATCGAAATCTTCGGAGGAGAAGCTGACGTAATTTCCAGAGCTGAGAATAAATCAGGAGGTTCGAGCTTGGGTGCGGTGGATTTTTTGTTCAAGAGCCTGCCTGAAACAAGGGGACCCAATGTCTTGTCGGAAGACTCCCTAGCACCGAGAAATAACCACTAAATGCTGCTGCTAAGCTCTAAGCTCTCAGCAGGAGTTGAGCCCTTAATTGTCAACACTACGTACTACTTGGCACAGTGAAAACTGATGCAAAGCCCTGCAGCGCAACGGCCCAAAGCAGCTGAGCCAGGCGATGCAGAGTATATTTTGGGTCTTGGTCTTCCTAGCAGCAGCCCCAGATTCGCCACTAATGAGGACCATGTCAGCACTTATACAGAATGAACACCAGAATAGCGCACGTCGTAGAAATGACCTGTTACCTGCGGGACAGTCGCTTCAGGACTTGTGGTCATGTCGTACCTATCTGTGGCTCTCTGGAGTGCATACAGCTGATGTGTCAGCAAGACTTATCTGCTAGTGCTGTTCAGACATCCCTCAAGGATTCCTAGTACTTGCATTTGTTGGCCTTTTCCATGCAATTTTCCAGTTGTGCGGTGCCAAGCCCTGGCAGGCTCAAAAAAATCACCATGGACCACGGAGGCCTCAAACTGTAAGTCCCTCCAAGGCGCCTTGTTCATTCTTCTTGTTTCAGCTCACTACTAAATATGTGTATATATACATATATACATGCAGACTCGATGTGTATGTACATGTATCCATGTATATCTCGAGTCTGCCCGCAAAGAGACAAACTCGTCCATCCTTACGTTAGCCCTCGGGCGCCGGTGGTGAGGTTGTGACCCTCTATGCCTTTGCGATCCTTGCAACCCGTCTTCTGGGCCTGTGGCTCAAGAGATAAAAGGTTTACTCATGATATGAGCTGTAATTAGTCTAAAATCCTAGCATCCCCCTTAATAACCCCTATAGTAGTCCCCTATATAAACCCTATCTAACCCCTTTGTAAGGAGTTTAAACAGTTTAGACTGTAGATCATATGGGGCTTCCCAGAAATGAGGGGTCTCTTTGACGGGGTCAGAGGTGTTATATTTGAATGTGCTTGTTTTGGGTTTCCAAGAATTAGGTGTCCCTGTCTGTGGGTCCCCATGATGCGGGTCAAATTACATTGGCGCCAAATTTTGGGCCCTGAATTTATGGAAACTCGCATAGAGGTGGACAACCTGCCAGACGAAAAGCACCTGCAGAAGACACTACATAATGGTGATGGTATGGACTAAGGTAGACGAAGGGTGAGCAGGCAGTGAATAACATGAATGAGAGAAATGAGAGAGACTGAGTAAAGAGAGAGAGAAGGATAGAAGCAGATACGATGCTGATGATGGAGAACGGGCTAATCTTTTCTCTTTTAGGAGCCCCGACGAGCCAATTTTGTAGTGATTTTGGGCAATGAGTGGGGCTCTCGTGGTTTGGGTTTAGGCTCTTGGATCTTCACGAGAGGGCATGGCTTCATGGAGTCTAGCGTGAGTGGCAACTAGAGCACACAAGAGATGACCTCAACTTGCTTTGCTTGTACCAAGGAAAACCATAGAAACAGTGGCAACCATGATCATTCTAGGTTTCAGAGTTCGCACAACTGGGATAGAGCAGTTCAGGCACTTGTAGTATTGAAGCGAAGAACCATCACCCCCGCCAGCACCGTTCCGAGGTCATTCGCACTACATACAGGAGTCGAATGACCTGCCGGTGGCTAGCACCTAGGTCACTCATTAGTTGATTCCCGTTTTCTGGACGTCCGCATTGACAGTACTGGGATGAGAGACCACAATCAGGTCCAGGTGGAGTGCTTAGAGAAAGTAGGCTGACTCTATCGATTTGCATGGTTGTGTCATTCAGACAGTCTGCCACAGAGAAAGGACAAGTTAACCATTTCACCTAATCATTCAGTTCCAGCTTCAGGGTTAAGTTTGCGTTAGAATCTTGCTGCGGGGGTTCGAGGGCTCATTGGAAAGAGGGCTTGTTCGTTTCCAACATGTTTTCACAGTAGCACGGGGTCCCCTGTGCGTTTGCTTCTCCATCTCTGTCTTACGTAAGTAAAGCTTAACCTAAATGGTTTTCCCGAGAAAAAGCATACTTGATAGTAGGAGGGTTAGTGTTCGTACGAAAGGCTAATTTCGGCTTCCCCAAGATGTGTGACGGCATCCTCACTTAACCTGTTCTTGCTCTACAGCTGTGAACTTATCCCAGGCAAGGAGCTCTTTTGCTCCATTTGCTTCTTGGCGCATGTGTTGGGGTTCACGCTTGAGGATGACGGTGTTAGGGCGGTATCTTCGATGTTGTACATTATATAAGCCACTGTGTACAGGGGCTCGAGATGTAGGGTTTCCCAGGATTGTGGCCAGATGTTGAAGGATGTCAGGCTTTGAAGTGGGTGTTTCCTAAGCTTAAGGGTGCTGATTTATGGGGTCCCTACAACAAGGACTGTAGTATTTTGGGGTCTACCTTGCGATTGCCCTATTTATGGAAACTACCAAGTATGTGTTTTTACTGCCAGGCTTCCGGGCGCTGAACGGGCATTTCCAAGTGCGGGGCTGTCGATTGTTTGGAAATATGATGATAATGTTCTTGAACCCCTATAATCCCCAGATAATCCCGATATAATCCCACAATCTACAGAAAATCAAGGTTTGCATTCCATTGTGGGAGCTCTCCGAACAACAGATCTTATGTGGGGGTTCTACTGGGCCGGGGTTATATTGGGATTCTATTGGGATTATATTGGGATTCTATTGGGACAATGGAAAATAGACTGGAAGCTATTATTTCGGGTTAAGGGTTCAGGCCCAGACGACCCGTGCATCTCGGCTCATGCCTGGACTCACATTAAACGAATTGAGCAAGCAACGTCGTTCAGGGTTTAGGGTAGGAGGGAACAGTCATCTACTGGTGAAAAAAGGACACGAGGTATATGGGCTCGACATCTTGAATCCTTTCAAGCTTGCAACTGCATGGGATGAGTTGCGATCTCAAAGTTAGGGTCTGAAGTGTGTACGGTGAAGATTGGTACCGCGCAACGGCTTGGAATTTGAGAGGTGCCCTTGCGTTTTTCATGTTTAGTCCGAAATCTCAGTGGCTCCAATCTGCAGATCCCTTCAGCCCCGGTTCCCTTACTCCTGGCACCCAAATTTCTGCGATCCTCAACCCCCAGATATGTTCATCATGCTGACATCCCCAAAACCCCAGCCTGGAGTCCCTGGATAGAGCCTTAGAATGTCGACTTGCGAAATGATGTTGACGGGGCTCTCAGAGCACTATAGAGCGGTAGTGTGACCAGTAGGATATGCTGTGCTTGGCAGGGGACTCCATGTTCGCCCTCTTCAGTGCGGGAGCCTTATTACCACAGCTTTGCTGAAGCCATGCGTGGTTCCTGGTGGCACGTGCGCTTTACAGAACATGTGAACACAACTATTAGTGCTTCCACTGACGTAGCAATGAAACTTGATGTTGGGGTTCGACTCGGAACTGTAGAGGACGCTGCCCTACTAGTTGTGCCATTTGGCTGCTTGCGCAGCACAGTGAATTGTTCTCTTGCGACGTGCATGTTTCACTTCCAAGCATGGTTGGACGGATCTTCAAGCTGCTTTCCAAGCCGAAAATCCCTATAAGTCAGCAAATCCCAAGTGCTGCTCGAATCTAGCGGCCGCACCTGCAACCTCGCCGAGATCATGAACCAGCAGAACTGGGAAGCCATGGGCCCCTTGCTGGAGAAGGCGTGTTTATGATAGCTGCGTGGAGTTTCAAGTGGAAGGCTCATCATTTCGAGGAACTACTCGGATAGGGCATGGGCGATTTACAGACAATGCCTGCTTGCTGGAGAACAAGCTCCTCATTCAGTAGCTTGACTGAAATTCAATGCTTCTTCCAGATGTAGTCTGGACAAGGCAGTTCAGAGTTCAGACTCTAGATGTGCCGAGTTGTGTTGGGGGTTTCGTGTCAAGGCTTCAGCAAGTTAGGAGATGCTCCCCTAAACCCTAAACCTTCGTCTTCTTTTCAAAAACCCCATGTGTCGTTTTATCCTAGACTCCTGCAGGCTGACCATGTCTCAAAGCTGGCCATATGGTAGTTTCCCAAAATAAGGGGACCCCAATATAGACCCTAATATGCTATAATCCTGCTTATGGGAACCCCAAAAGGTCAGCCTTAATTTTAGGAAACCCCCATATCCTGTAAGATGCGAAGCTTCGGCTTTCAGGGTCTCAGACGTTCCGAGAAATTTCTTGCTTGCGGTCACTTCTGCCACACTTCTTGTCAGAGCTTTTGTTCGAGAACGAATTCTGCCAGGGCGTATTCTGAGAAAGGCTCCCTTGGTTTAATTCTCTGCGCCCTTTACAGCTTGCAGGTTCCTGCGATAAAGCCTGTCTACGTGCTCTTCACGCTGCTCGACTTGGACCTTTCCAAAAGTTATAGCTTGCTTACTTCTGTGAGTTCTTGTACTTAGAACGACTCTGTGATGTAGCATGGTCAAGGCAGGACCTCAGTGTGAGCGCAGGAGGGACTTTAAGTTCTGAGGTCTACGGGGGCCTTGACTAACAGCTCTCATTCGTGACACTAAGGTGAAACTGATTTCTTGAACTGGCTAGCAAGTGCCAGATTTCTTGTCAGTGAGTTTGTGCTCCACTTAATGCAGAGCCCGCATGGATAAATACAAACATCAGGATTCCAATATACTTGTAGCTCTTCCTAAGGAAGGAAGCTACGAAGCCAGGGTTTTTGTGAACGTTGTTGGGTTTTCGAGGGTTGCTCGAAATAATCCCGAAACCCAGTATCCCCCAGTATTCTCTACAAGGCCCCAGGGTCCAGTGCCCTTACGGGTCCGCGTTTTGGCCATCTCCCAGTAAAGTGGAGTGGTCAAGGTGCTGATTGACAAGGAGGCATCTGGAAGAGGGATATTAGAGGATATTACAGTCCACAGCATAGAATAAGATTGTCTCCTCCGTTGAACGACCCAAAAAGCCATTACTCTGCTTCCTAAAGCCTTATTTCAATTTCAATTTCTTTGTCCATTTCATCCCCGAATTTCCCGTATTTTCCAGAAATAGCCCAATATACACCCTCAACCCTAAACCCTAAACCCTAGTAACAACAATATGGTACAAATGTAGAAAGAATATACTATATTATAAGGACCCCTAAACCCTAAACCTTAATAATGCACTGTATTATAGGGACCCCAGACCCCCCCCCCCATCCATATGGTCCCCTATGGCTTTGGGTATATTACAATAAGATCCCCATATACCCCATATTGTATCTACTTAAGGGGGACTATAACCCTCTGAGGATTTGCTCATCTTGGGCTCTCTTATCCGTCCTCACAGGCGTCCGGGGCTCAGACCAACCATCTACTCCCCTAAGGGTCCAAGGACCCAAATCATAGGGTCCCTTTAAAGGGGTTCTAGGGGGATATATAGTATATCGGGACTATATAATGGTCCTTTGACCCTTAGGGCTCTTTACTGGTGTTGATGAGGGGGAGTAAGACAGTGATTACACAATTGGGTTGTAGAGATATTACGCTATGGGATCATAGTCCCTAAGTAAAAGTAGAATGTGGAATGGCCCAAAATCATAATAAGATCCCCCATGCACTGCATACTCTATCTACTTGAGGGGGACTGTATAGATTGAACGATTATAGCTAGGGATCCACCAGTTTTCTCAGTTCAGAGCCTGGTAGAGCAGCCTCCGTGGCATGCAGTAGGGATGCTTTGGGTTTTGGGTTCAGGGTTGAGGAATGCCCCTGAGGGTCCGAGTACCGAAATGGAATAAGAATTGGAGCCCACATGGGTTCCTCACAGAGGAATCATGGGTTCTTTGGGTGCATTGGTGTATAGATTACGAGAAAGGATACTTATCTGAAGCCGTGAGGTGGAGATCCAGGATTGCATAATACTTCGGGCGGTCTATAGTGTTGGGAAACACAACCTCGCATTCTCTACAGGTGCTGCTTAGGTACTTCCTTGGGTGATATACGACTTGAGAGGGGCTTAGTTTGCCGTTGCAAGCTATCCAAACCTGACTCTCTTCAAGTCCTATCCTGAAGTATATAAGCTAAGGCAAGAGGCCATCCTGTTACTCACCTCAAAAGAGGTGGATCAGCAAGGCATGTGGCTGCAACCAGACGACATAGCGAATCCACCCCAAACTCGTCAAAGTTGCACATTGCCTTCTTCTGAGGTCCTTACTATAATATGGATCCTAATGTAGACTCCCACCTGTTTCCTAGGTCAAAGTTAAATCCATGGGCCCTTAATAAGCTTGTAGGGTTTTATAGGGTTTTATACTAGGTAAATAAGGACCCCAGGATTAAGCTGCCAACCTTTCACTTCGGGTCCATGTAACCCAGGTTGTGAGTGACAACATGATGGCGGTTCGCGAGCAACAGTCCCAGAAGGACGAAGAGGCCTTCCGAGGTGCTTAGGATTTTAGGGTTTAGCTAGGGTTTCGGGGTTTTAGGATTTCAGTGCTTCGGGTTTTGCGGTTTTAGGATTTTAGGGTTTGGGGTTTGGGGATTCTTCAAGGGGTCCAAGTACCTAATTAGTATATACTTGGGGGGCTTCAATCTAGGTACCTTGAGCTCAGATTACATTGCATACAAATATAGTTGGGCCTGGGTTATATGGATATGTTGGGTTCAAATTACACATTGGGAGATTCGCCTCCTAGGTGTAGGTGTGTGTGTGTGTGTGCCTGGAAAGGTATGGGAGCTGCCCTCACCTGAACTCGCAGACTTTGTTGGATGCCCATGGTCAATGCACCAGCGGTATGCCCTGCGAAAAGCAGCTTCTGGACACAGCTCTGCCCGGACACAACTGTGCCAAGCCTAGTACTTAGTACGTCTGCGAGCTTTCCAAACCATTGGCATCAAACATCATTTCTGGCTCCGAACTCAGCCAAGCTTCATAGTCCATGTACACTGTCCCACACCAGTTGTGACCAACAAAAAACCCAACCCAGCAATCCCATCAATCGGCGTTTGGGCCCCTAAGCGACATGCACGCCCGCCAGTCTTACCATGACAGGCTGTTGAGGAGCGGCGAATTTGGCTGGCAAGGCCATCCCTGATAGGATTCAGGCGATGAGGAGCCTACACAGAGTTGCAAAACATTCCAACAACGGAGTGCGTAGAATGCAGGCTGGATTAACGTGTCAGGAACTGTCTTGTTACAAATGGGAGCAACTTGAAGGTGGGATAATGGAAAATCACATGCAAACTACCGGGATTTCCTGTTGTTACAACTGCTGCTAGATTATACGGAGTCTCGTATACTATAGTTTGCTATTGTATACCATTATCGTATACTTTAGCATATTATAGTATAGCATAGGATACTGTAATATGGTATAGTATCCTATAGTATATACTATGGGGTTTCGGTTTCAAGGGGAGGGCGGCACCCCAAACAGGTGCATCAATCCTTCGGCATGTTGAATTGCAATGGGAGGTGGCTGCGAGGAGTCTTTGCTGCGGCCGACAAGGATGGAAGTATGGCCTTAGAACGGAGCCCATGCCTCAGGGAAATCCGGACGCTGCGTTTAGGGTTAGAAAGTAGAGCCCCCAGCGCAGAACCCCCAACGCCGATTGTGGAATAGTACGCTTGAAGTATGGAGGATGGCTTCAGGAGTGGAGGCATACAAGTCTTGGGATTACTTTTACTTGCTGGTAGGGAGGGCGCGAAGGCTTGATTTGCATCTGAGGTAACCACAGGACTCATAAACAGTGCAGCAGAGTAGTACTCTGCGCTCTATCCGGGCAAGTGGGGGGTAAGCTAAGGGGTATTTGGAGACCCGAAGGGTAGATACAGAATATGCTAGGATAATAGAGGGCGGGCCCGGCTTGAGAAACTCCCACGTAGCATGCTGCAAATGCAAAGAAGCTTGTCTGGGTGTTGCCCTTTCCAACTCTCCTGAGATTGGCCCGTTGCAAAGTATGCCCTCCTCCTTCATTCCTTCCTTCCTTGGCTTGAAGTATGGACGGTCCTTTCCTTTTGCTGCACTTCGCCCGGAAGCAACAACAATAAAGACCTTGAAGCAGCAACGCTGATACTCCACTCTACATTCAGAAAGCGGACGTACGCAGAGAACGGAAAGCGGCGCCCAGGGTAGTGGCAGCCGGGTCAGTTCCGGAAGCATTGTTGGAAGACTGGTTAAGGGTTCTGGGGCTTCGAACCTTCGCCCCAACCACTGTCAGCTGTTGAAGCTCAAGAATTTACACAGGAATCCCTGGCCGGGAATATCCGATCTTCAAATCAACATGCCTACCTCTTGGTAGACGTAATGTCGCAGCATCCTAACAAGAGGGTCCCCTGGAAAAGGATCCAACACAATTTGAAAGACTGACCGCCTAAACCCCAACCTCTGAACAAGAAACCCCTCAACCCTAAAATCAAAATTTGTTCTGATTCCGGGTGAAGCTACAGCCTGCCGCTTCGGACTGAGGCGAATATCGTGAACTGCTAAAGCCTTGAGCCGAGAGCCACTGCCCAGGGTTTAGGTTTCAGAATCTAAGCCACACACCCTAAACCCTAAACCCTCATGCACGCAAAAAACGCGTTGTTCAACAAGAAAAGGCACAACCCTTAGGTCCTAAAGTTTTAGGGGGCAAGGGGTCTAAGGGGGGTTTAGGGAGCCTGGAGGTGCATTATGGTCATTAGCGGCAGTATTGCAACAGTATGGAATCCACTCTACTAGGAGCGCTGAAGGTTGCCGGGTTTGGGAGTTTGGGTTTGCAATCGGGGTCTAAGATTTCAAAGCCCTGAACCTTAGGAAGCTATAGGTGCTATAGGGTCTACAGTAGGGGTCAGGGTAGCTTAAGGTGTCAATGGCATTCTGTAGACTTCGTGAAGTTTGCCTCACACGGGAAATACATCAGACTTCGAGATAACCAACACAAACAGAGCGCCAGCAGCAGAAAACAGCAAGCCTGCGGCTCCAATACGGTTGGCGGTGTTGGTTCTGCGGACGTTGTCCCACCTAAACAGAACAATATACTCTTAGCTCGCACCAAATCAAACCCCACATTATCAATTTTCTACGGACGAGTACACTACAACCCAGTCTGGCAACACTGTCCGCTTGTAGCAATCCCCCTGACACCCTACAACCTCTCTGCTAAGATCAAGCCCGGCCCTCCAAAGGTCCAGTCCAAAATTCTCAGCCGCCAAGAAGTGTTCCATTACTGTAAAGAACCATGCGAACCTCGAGAGTCCACCTCTGCTTTCTGGAGCCTTGCTTGTAGCACCTCCTCCCCCTATGAAATCCCTGTAGCCTCGTTTATCCTGAGTTGTTGAGGTCACCCTTTCACTTGAAGCGCCTGCAGCAGGCGCCATAAGACTTGAGCTCCGGAAATAAGTCCTACTAACGTCGAGGAGGAGCAGGAGTAGTAGAGGACTTGTATCGGGAGGAGACTTGTAGCAGTAGCACAACGGGACAGGAGTAGGGTAGCAGAAGAAAAGCAGATTCCTTTACCAGATACGATCGACAAATGTGGAAAGGCCATGCAATGTTCCCAACATCGCGAGGAAATCAAGATTCTGGACAGATGCAAAGCAGGTGACTAGGACAAATCCCCGAATTTCCAGGCTTCGGGATGCAGAGATGTTTAGAAGAGGGAAAGGTAGTGGGTTGCGTTTGTTTGGTCATGGGCCTTCTGGCTTGAGGATGTAGAGCGGGTGCTAGGGTGGGCTTCTGTGGTTTAATTTCAGAATGCTGTGTGGTTCCCAGCCTGAGCTTATGATTGACTAGTAGAACTGCATTATCCCCTCAAACTGGAACCACACCAGAGAGATGGTCGACCGAACCCCAAAAAAACAACAAAATGCTTAAATCCAACACCTGGAGGTTGCGAAGGTGCCCATGCAGGATCTCATGCAGATGTTTGACATCCTGGATGCCGGTGGCCTCAGCATTGTCAAGGATTCAGGGGTCAGGCTTTGAATTCTACAAGTCCCCACTAGTTACCAGTTGAATAACACTTTTATGTCAGACAGATACAGCCTTTAATGTGTTCTCGAGACCGCGGGTGGGGCCAGTACCGGTACCCCCTGTAAGGCTTTTAGACAGGAATTGTTGCTTCGTGCGTGGGTTTGGGGATTTCTGCTTCAGAGTTGAAGGTTGCACATGTTCGGCCCCTGTAGTCCTTGTCCTCCATAGGTTCACTTCATGGTTTGCCTTGTGGATGACCTCATCTACAAGGCTGTAATGCCCCTACACCCCAAGAACACAAAGACTAGGTTTCCGCTGAAACCCAAACCCATTGCCATTTGGATGTTTAGGGCAGGACCTTTACCAAAGATTGGGAGCAAAGTGCTCCAGGAATGATCGCTGCGACCCTTTCCTCCCCAGATTCATCACGGCCATGGTGTGGAATTGAGATAGAGGTGGTCATTATCTATTCAAAGGCACTATTTCTGAGGACATTTCGTAGTTCTAGTCGGTGACACAAAATCTATAGTATCATATGCTAGCAGCAGTAGCACTACAGCAGCTGTTGGTAGCTCTTCTGATGTTCTTTGCTACTTCTCAGTCTTCTGCTTGCTGATCCCTGTGGCGATGGTTGATTTGTTGTTACCTCTATTTGAGAGGCGCCCCTCTCAAGCCCCCAATCCTGCAGGCCTATGAGGATCCTTGTGGTAGTCTCACTTAGCCTCAAAACGACCCCCATAAATCCCCTGAGTATTGAAAGAATGAAACCCAGCACCTCGACCCACTCGCCCGATTGACTCACCAATCATCATACATGAGCTATAGTCGAAACTCCTTAGAGGGGGTTATATTATAGGGGACTACTCTAGGGGTTGTGAAATGGGATACTAGGAGTTTAGAGTATAGCTCACATGTACACACATGGCATGCGCAGAATTGGCTTGAAAGGGCTTTTGCGGGCGCTTAATTTCTCAAAGGCCGGTTCTGAACGATGTTTTGCGTGAATCGTGTTCAAGCTGCAGAAACTACAGCCGCTGCTGTCTTGGGTTTCCTTGTGTCGAGGCGAGCTCAACGTGAGGGTTTCCCAAAAATTTAGCCCTACCATTTAGGGGGTCCCAATAACCAGGATATGAGTAGTTCGGGGTCTAGATTGGAGTCCTTGTTTTGGGAAATAACCATGTTCAGAAGCATGCACACGAGAGGATCCAAATCACAAGAGTCCCAGGTGGACCACAACGGGCTCATCGAGTTCCAGGATGCTGTTTAGGGTCCATAATTAGGGTGCTTTCAATTTCTAGAAAAAGGACTCGCTTGGGTTCTCTTGCCTGTACTGTCGCTGTATGAGCGAAGCAAGGGACCACATAGAAATCACGGTTTTGGGCTTCTACATGACGACAGACCGGGCTGCAATGCAAGCGAATCCCTGCTGTTTCCGACCCTTGGCCGCTTCCCCCCAGTATGACGAGAGGTTAGGCCGAGGGTACTTCTTGTTGAGTTCCAGCTCGGGTGTGGGGGCTATGGCGTCCCGTTTTGCAAGACACCGCAACATGGCATTTGCGAAGCCTTAGTGCCTCAAACTTGAGTTCTGGCATAGCCACGCATTGCACCGTGTAAGGTTTTGAGATATATACGGGGAAACCGATGCTTGGAAACCTCCAACTGAGTTCTGGATCGCCAATGGCAACAGCTGCGTTTGTTTTGCCTTGCTGCGATGCACTTATTTCTGAATTACTGTTAAGGAACATGAACTAATTTACCATACTACCAGCAATGTGGTCCCTTTGGAATGATAACTCAAGCGCAGATCCCTCTTGACTCTACTGCGTCGACATATCCTGAGCCATGTCTTGAGATGAATTCCTTAAGCCTCACAGACTCCACCACCTCCCCGAATCCGTTCCTTCCACCCTAAACTCAAACAATCAAGCAAAAGCCGCAACCCCACGGCTTAGACCTTGCAGCTTCACATCCCCAGGCCCCTAAGGCCGGTAAGCTTGCAACCCTATACCCTGTGACTCACGTGAGCTATAGTCTAGACTCCGTAAAGGAGGGTTATATAAGGGTTTCGGGTTCAGCATGTGAGCTCTTTAAAGGAAATTTATGGGGATTATATTGGGGGCCTCCTAGACGATATTAAGGAGGATACTAGGAATTCAGATTATGACTCATGTAATCCTAATATTCCCTGTTACCCTATACCCTGAACCCTGGGCCTCATAAATTCCCTACATCTATCCCGAAATCTCCCTTTAAAGTACCCCATATCTATCCCTAAACCCTAAACCCTAAATTTGTAGCCCTAGATTTCCCAGGAGTTCTTGGTGGGCTTCGAGTGGCTCAATGAGCCCATCTCGGGGAAGCCAGCGGCCCCAAAAATCATGGCAACCTGAGTTACACATGAGGGAATTCTGAATTTATATAGGGGTTGTGTGCACATTATAGGCTCATATAGGGCTATATAGGTTTTAGGGATTAGGGTTTCCAAAAAGTAGGGCCCCCTGTTTTGGAGTCTCTTCTGTGGACTTGGGTATTGCCACAATTATAAAACCAGCAACTTTTCTGGCAATATGCAGATCCTAGAGTTGAGATTTCGGTTTCAGAAGAAGCAAGTTTCAGGGTGAAGGGGCTATAGGTTGGGCTATTTCCCCTCAGAGTAGCTCTCCTGAAAGGAGCTATAGTGTAAAAGGCATATGGGTGGTTGTCAAAATTATGGTCCCTTTTTTGGGTACCCTAAATATTAGGTGCCGTATTATAATAGGGAACCCAAAAAGGGACCATAATTTTTACAACCACCCATATCAGGTTACAGGGTTAAGGTGCGTGGCTGCAGGATGAACATTTTTGATTGTCAGAGGATATGGTGGCATTGTGGGGAGTTGATGGGTGCCTGTATGAAGCCCCAAGTTAGTGGGATCCTTATTGAAAAAACGCGAAGGTAACCATGATTTTGAGCTTCCGGAACTGCAAGCAAGCATTCCTCCCCATATGATCTATAGTCTAAACTCCTTTAGGGGGGGGTGTATTTAGGGCATTATGTAGGGGAGCATTGGGAGATTAGGCTACAGCTCATATGCTGCCTGACCGGAGCACTGGAATTCGAATGGATTTGGCACCTCTGGATAAGATACCCAAATCTGGCCAAAAACAATTCAGCTGTGTGGTTCACCCATGTGTACAAACATTCTGCCTTCAGTGAACACCGGTTTCTGTGAAAGCCTTGGATTCTGCATTCTGAGGTCTCTGCTCAAGCTGGGCCACGAGATTCGGTCCCTAGGACTCGTTTGTTTCATGTCAGTTCTGGCGATCTCAAGACAGTGTTGAGGGGGATCTGGAAGTTCGGGAAGGCAAGAGGAGTAAGAGGAACCGAGCATGTACATCTAGAGAGGTCACCTCGTTTGCTGTGTGCTATGACTCGGATACAGGTTTTCTAAGTAACGGCAAGTCTTTGTCCTCATGTTGAGGCCCTTTTGGCTTCTCATTCACAAGCTTTCGATGCACGGGTGGTAGAAAAGTTTGTGCCAAGCTCACGTGAGCTATATAGTCTAAGCTCCTTAGGGGTGGTTATTTGGGGGGATATTCAGGGGGATACTAGGAGTTTACACGTGGCAGGTTTCTTGGAACCCATGTCCTTTCCCTCCGGTGTACGCAAGGAGCCTTGCCTTGAACTTGCAAGCCCGCCTTGAACTTGAGGCCGCATTGAGGCCTCAAACCCGGCCTTCCAAACCCTCAACCGTAAACCCCAAGACCCGGAACCCTGAAGTAAACCCGGCCTAGGCCCCACCGGCCCCAAACCCTAAAAACACACAAGCCTTCATCCAAGGGTGTCCTGCCAAGCCGTGGAGAAGCTGCTACGCGGCCTAAGCCACTTGGCGAGCCCTGGGAACGGGACATTTCTCTCTGGGATTGCTCCCCCAGAACAAGGCCACCAAAGTGTTAGGCATACCGTCGTTTTTTTATTATTCTTTTCCTGGCGTCATTTCTTGTTAAGTCAACATTCAAAGACTGCCAGGCGTGGGCATAAGGAGCTTGGAAGGCAAAGGGGTACGGCAGTGAGTTTGTGTCGTGCTTGCTTGGGAATTCGGAGCTCCTCTTTGCCTTTGCTTTGTGTTTCAATGTTTCTGGCCCCGAAGAACTTGTGCGTAGGAGTTTGATGAGACCCTGTCAACTGATGTCTTCGTGATCAGCTTCGTAGTGCTGACATCATCTTCTGTTTGTTGTAGGAGTTCTCAAATCAATGTTGAGGGCACAGAGGACGTTCGTAGCATCTACATCTGACCAGACGCAACACAGTATGAGGCGTCTATGGGATCTTTTTGTATCCTATTTCAGGCAAGAGGGGAGAGGGTGTAGGGCAGGAGGAGGCAGCAGGAGCCCCTGACGAAGTGGAGCCTGGTAATCATAGTAATCACTGCTTACTCCAAAGCAAACAGTGGTGCGGGTGAGTATGTGGCTTGCAACATGGTTCGCGCAGCCTTGCATGAGGAGTAAGCACTCATCCTCACTTGACATCGCTCACTTCAAGGGGATTGCTTGAACGTGCAGAACGGGTTTAGCCAAGCGCAAGGATTGATTTCAGGCTCCTCCGAAAGCGTGATTCGGAAGTTGAGTTGAACTTCCTAAGCTTGAGGGAGCCCCCAGAAACCCAAAGCCCTACAGCCTAAAGACGCACTTCCAAGCCCCATGGCTTGGTATTCTAATACAGGTATATACTGTGGATGATATATAGATGTAAGGCTAGGTATGAGGATCCCAGAATGTACTACAAGACCTTCACTCATTACCATCAGAAGCCCAATCTTCCATGTGATTTGCCTTTGTCTTTTCCCTTTGACGTTCAATTAATTATCGTCTTGCTTGTTTAACGTTAATTGTTGTACTTTCCAGTTGGTTTTCCACTCATTATTGTCTTTTCCAGTTGGCTTGCCATTCGTTTATTGTCTTGTCCATCTGCTTTGTCCATTAGTTTCTTGGGGTAAAAACAAAAACCCTAAACCTTATATACCCCTATATAATCCCAGTTTCCATGTCGTTTTCCATGTTCTTTTCCATGTGATTCTCCATTTTTGGGTGGTAACCTTAATCCCTAAACCGCAATACCCACTCCGAAGTCCTGCTTTGTCGAGGCGAGGATCTAAACAGGCTTTGCTCTCGACAGCTGGCGGGAAGCCCTGTCTTTTCAAAAATCAGAGCTTTGAGTATATTATAGCCCGTTATAGCGTAGTATAGTAGATTATGGTATGTTATATTATATAATATATGATGGTAGATTATGGTATATGAAAGAAGATGATTGGATGTTATAGTGTATTATTTAAGGGCTTGCGCCGCTGCCGCCGACCCCGGCATGAGGGGGCCGGGGCGGCGGCCGATCTGGAAGAAACCGCGACTTCCAATCCATCTCTGCAGTCTGCAGGTGTGGCTCTAAGATGCAAGCAGCACGGCTGGCAGGTCGGAGGCCTAGGAGCCAGGCAACCAAAACGGGCGGGGCGGACACGCCCTGACAGTTTTGTCGTTAAAAAGAAAGAATTTGGTT